GACCGCTCGGCTCGACCCATTTAATATACCCCTTATAGAAAATGCCCACTCCTATATATTTCTATTTGAATTTAACCGCAACATAAATTTCACTAAGTATTATCAAAATTCTAGGTAGTGTAAAGTATTGAACCCGTTATTTCTTGTAACGATATCGGTGAAATCAACACACAAGTGTTACATTTTCACAAGTTCCTCTAATTCGCTTAGTACTAATATGGTCTTGTACTCATCCGTTTTCATTGAACTTTCAAGAAAGAAACTCTAACTCTCTATTGAGGAGGCACGACCTCGAAGTTCGCATAGGTGGAGTTATTTCACCATCTTATTACTTTTTAGAGATACTTGTACCCGAACTAAACTTCATTAAGAGTTTTATAATGTATCCCTTGAACCGAAACAACCAACACTATTTATCAAGGATAGGGTTTAATAACTTAATATTGTTGAAATCTATCCACTTATCGAATGATTTGTTATTTCCCTTTGAACCTAAATATACTTGTTTAGCATACTTTTGATAGGGTTACCAACATTGATAGATTTAACTAAGGAGTTTCAACCCATCCTACTTAATGTCGATCTTACTAACTCTCTTGTATGAGTTTTAGTCAACGGATTAGCTAAGTTCTCACTAAGTTTAACATATATAAGAGAAATTATTCCATATTTGATTAATTTTCTTACATACTCATATCCTAGACTCATATATCTAGACTTTTCATCATATACTCCGATGTATACTCGAGCCAGAGTAGCTTGACTATTACACGAGATAAATATTGAAGAAATATCCTTTATATTTAAAGATATTTCATACAAAAGATCTCTTAGTCATTCAGCTTATTTTCTAAATTCAAATAATGCTACAAACTCAGACTTCATCGTTGAATGAGTAATGCACGTTTGTTTTTTGGACTTCCAAGAAACTGCACTTCCTTCAAGAGTAATATCCAACCTAATGTAGACTTGTTTTCTCCTACACTCAATATCCAACTAGCGTCGGTATATCATTCTAAGATAGTAGGGAACTTTATATATTGTAGTCCAAGATTTTTGGTTTTCCTTAAATATCCAAGAACCCTTTCGATGACTTTCCAATATTCGAAACTTGGATTGCTAGTAAACCTACTTAGTGCACTCACAGCAAATACAACATCGGGTCTTGTACATTGTGCCACGTACATAAGACTTCCAATTGCACTTGCACATTCTATTTGAGGTATTGCTTTTCCATCGTTCTTTATCAATTTGATAATTGGATCCAACGGGGTATTGCCTCTTTAATGTTTAAGTGTTTGAACTTATTTATCATATTTCAATATAATGTGATTGGCTCAATGTAAAGCCCCTCCACTATCCTTTTTAACTATGATACCAATAATAGTATCCAGTTGTCCAAGATCTTTCATTTTAAACTTGGAGGATAGAAACCTCTTGTTTCTTTAATTCCATCTATATTGTTGCTAATGATCAACATATCATCAACATATAGACATACAAATGTAATTATACTATCATTTATTGTAGTATATAAATATTTGTCTGTTGAATAATGATCAAAACCATTTGACATTATTTTAAAGTCAAATTTCTCATACCACTTTATAGGGGCTTGTTTTAATTTATACAATGAATTAATTAGTTTGCATACTTTATGCTCATTTCTCGATAGGACAAACCTTTCTGAATGTTTCATAGAGACCTCCTTCTTGAGATCTCCATTCAGAAATGTCATCTTGACATCCATTTAATGAACATGTAAATCACGGATAGCTATCAATGCAAACAAGATCCTAATCGAGGTTTTCTCCTTGCCACGAGTGCATGTGTGTCAAAGTAATCTATTCATTCCTTTGTCGATATCCGTCAACTACTAATCTAACTTTACAGGTATTGAGTGTTTCATCAAAATTATATTTCCTTCTAAACACCTATTTACAACCAATGGATTTAGAACACTTTCATAAATCAACTATTCCCAAATGTTATTTCATAAATCATTATTTATTGTATCTTTCAAGAATATACAATCTCTAGAAGACATTACTTTCGTATAAATTTTAGGATCATTTTCGACTTGACGAACAAAAAGAATTTTTTTTTACAACATCATTCCTATCTCCATCTACTAAGTAGAAAGAAACAAATTGGGAATCTATTTCATCCAATCTTAGACATTTTTCTTTTCTAGTTCTTTTACTTCTTCGAGGACCACTTTCAACATCTCTCGTAGATGTCTTTTCTTATGATTCTCTAGAAGTTGAAATGTCTACATTAGTTTTATTTTTAGAATTTTTTTGTTATTAATACATTTTCGAAAAACTCCACATCCCATGATTCTATTATAACAATTGATTCTAAGTTTCATAACATATAGGCCTTGCTATTGAAATCATATCCCACAAAGAAACATTTAATTCCTCTTGGACCTAATTTAGTTCTCTTAGGATCCGTGTTCTTGCAATAAGCAAGACACCTCACACTTTGAAATAATTAATATTTGGTTTCCTTCATTTCCATATTTCATATGGAGAAAACTTATTCTTTTTCAAAGGAACCCTATTTACTATATGACAATCACTAAGTAAGAGTTTATCCCATAAGTGAAATGCTAATTCGAAGTTTAAAAACATAGCATTTATCATTTCTAAGAATGTTCTATTCTTTCTTTCCGTTAGACCATTTTGTTTCGGTGTTTGTAATACAGAACATTGATGTCTTATTCCATTTTATTCACAAAACATATTGAATTCATTATAAAAGTATTCTCCACCTCTATCACTTCTTAGAGTCTTTAACTTTTTTCCTAATTGATTTTCAACTTCAACTTTATATGTTTTAAATGCATTAAAGACTTCATCTTTATGCTTTAACAAATATACATAAGTATAAAGTATTTATTATTGCCTCTTGTTAGCATACTATCTAATTCACATATATTGAAATGAACAAGCTCTGGTAAATTTGTTGATCTTACTATACCATGAAATGATTTTTTAATCATCTTTGATTTAATACATGTCTCACATTTCTTTATATGATCAACTTCACATTGTATTAATCTACAATTAATCATTATTTTCATAGTTCTAATTACTATGTGTGATAATCTATCATGCCATGAATTAAATGAATCAATAACATAAGCAAAATGTTTGTTTTTATTAAAATCATTCTCAAAAGTACAAAGTTTGACCATTCTTTTAGTAGAATAGTCCTTTCCAACAAAATACTCATTATGGGCTAGTACAAGTTTTCCCGACTCAAATACAGATTTGGTTCTCAATTTGCCCAAGAGAACCCCGCTTTCTAAGTTCCTATTCATTTATGGTACATAAAGGATATTGGTTAAAGTGATCTTCTTTCTCGAAATGAAGATGATCTCCACATTCCTTTTGCCAATCAATTTAGATCTTCCATTATTTCCTATTTGGATGGTTGCGCATGTATCATACCACTGACCCGGAACCTTGCTTTGAATTGCATTGATTCGCTCACCGATTCATCAATGGAGTTCACTTGTCCCTCATTCTTTTGTTGCTTTTTGTGCCTTGCAATCTCTTGTATAGTACCCCAATTTTCCATAAACATAGTAAAGTCCTCTTGACTTAGTTTTGAATTTTTCTTGATCCTTTTTAGGACAAATAGTGTTTCCTTTCTTCTTGTATTTGTTGGAGATATCTACATTGTCTACAATATTAGCTTTTGAAGAGTCATCATAAGAACTTTTGATCTTATCATTTCCAAGTCCTCGGAAGTTTAGCAATGATTGCTTCCATTCAAAATGATTCGAGAAGTTCGATTTTCACTGCTTTTAATTTGTTCACAATGACTTGTAATTCATGTACTTGAGACAACAAAGGAATACTATCTAACATTTTGAAATCATAGTATTTATTTATAAGAATTTTCTTGATACCTTCCTCCTTGACCATATATTTGTTTTCAAGTGAATCCCATATTACCTTTGCCGAAGTGATGTTAGTGTAAATATCATACAACCAATCCGAAAAAGCATTTAGGATTTGGCCGTGACATATCAATTTGTCCACTTGCATCTTTTTTCTCTCGGTATAAACTTCTTCCGTATCTTCTTCGGTTGCATCGGCAATTGGTTCCAAGTCTAGATCAAACACAAAAAGATCTTTAACGCCGTTAGAAAGAATTTGAGTTCATCTTGTCATCTTGTGAAGTTTGATCCATCAATCCTATCCAAGCATACTAAATCTCGATTCATCAACTTGATGGCAGCCAACGTAGTTTTCGTCTCCATCGCGGTAAATGTAAAATATCGTTTGAGATTATTGAAAAATTTACAACAATGGAAAGAAATGAGGAAGAAGATGAAAAGATCAAAGAATAGTTTGATATTGAAGAAGTCTTGAACACGTATAAGCGTTGTCTTTAAATGATATTTGCCTCCTTTTCTAATTGCCTTAAGGATTTCCGACAAATAGTTGAAGGATTAAACAAAACTTAGATGAAGAACACCAAAACAAAAGGAGTATCCTTAAATTGAACAAAGTGAGAACCAAGAAATGAATGTATAGAGAATGATACTTTTATATATTTAGAGAGGAATACTATCATGTATTTATAGCCTCCAATCATCCTTATACAAATTGGTACCACCTTTACACGAAAAGATGCAAGAAATTAGCCACATGACACCACTTTTGAAATTGAAAAATCTTCTAACAGGCAGAAATTTTGACCATGAGGCCACATGCCTTTAGACTTGGCCTTCCAGAAAGTTCTGCATGGCTAGATGCGGTCACAAGCATAAATAGTTTTGCGGCCACATAGGCCGATTTTTGACCTATGTTTTTCCATTTTTCATCAAATTTCAATTTTGAACAACAAGAATCCAACACTTATTGTAATGCCTGAATTTTTTATAGAATAAAATTATTTGTTCTATATTCTACATTTTTATAATTTTGAAAAATTGGGGGGGGATTAAAGTAATTATGTATTAAATTCAATTTTATTTGGGCAAAATATTTAAATATTAATAGAGCGATGATAAGTATATCAATATTGAGCTCGAGCTCTATTTTAGGCTCCAAAAAATGTTAATTCGAATAAGCGAAACTTAAATTATTGAAGTTTAAAGAATTTGTCATTAACTACTATTTGATTTTTAAATTGATTATGGATTTTAAAGGTTTGGCAGTCAAATGGGTCTTTTAGATAGATGTAAAGCATCGTTTTATTTGATTATGATAAGGTTTTGATGTAATTCAATTAAAATTTCACATTTTTTTTGTCGTTGAATTAGATAACTCACTCTCAATAGGATTTGTCATATAACCTATATATAACACAATGAAGTCAGGGAATTTTCACTACGAAAGTATTATAAATACACGACAGAGATAACCAAATTTCGGCCACGCTTATTTTTCAAAGTAGAATTCGCATCCATTTATCATTACTTCCACCATATACGTCCAAGTGATTTGAGAAGAACATTTTGGATTTCTATTTCAAAAAAATTATTTGATCTAGCAAGATAGGATTACGATGTACAAGTGGTTTGTCCCGTTTAATTTATTTTTTCATGTTGATAAATATTATGCTAATGAAAGTTATGATATGATATGTGATATGAAATTGTCACCCGACACTAATAATATTATATATTATGAGCTTTTATTGATTTTTAAAGATATGATTTGATGGTATAATATTTTGACGCATATTCAATACTCTTATTCAGGATTGCACAATTTACTTGTGTCCCATTGAATATTTACATATGCTCACCATTTTACCTTTTTTCTCACACGTTAGAATAGGCCGTTGGTTGGCGGACGATGAGATGCAGTCGTTGCCGGAATTCTTTCGACCCAATAAATGAAATCCAGTGTAACTTGAACGAAGATTTTATTTTCAGCATTAACGTTAGTTTTATTATTGTGGATATTTTATTAAGGACTTGAACATGTTTTATTTGATTATGTATTCCCGTATGTTTTAGTTTACATCAGTGGAGCCAACATATATAATTTATTATCTATTATCTATAATAAAATATTTAAATTTATTAAAAGGTTGGTTTTACTGGAACATAGTTAGGCGAATGGTCCACTTGGAATTCTAGCTAAACTGCATGAAAAGCGCTGACAGGGGGTGTAAAGTTGGGACTTTTCTTTGTTAATTTACCTTGTTCATTCAATTTTAGGGAATTGTATTTGGGGAGATTTATCAATTGGGAGATGCATAAATTTTACAAATTAAAGGAAATTGTGGTTTAATAACCCGTCTATCATGGTTATGGTTAGTATTCATTAAATGATTTATCAAATAAAATCAAATGATATTATTATGCATATGTTGAATTATGTCCTAAATTTTTAAATTGTAGATCTATATTAATTTGATCTATCCAAACATATTTGATTATTATGGTATCGAAAAAGTCATCATCGCTAAGAAAATATATAAATAAAATTTTTGAAAATATTCTATATAACTTTTATTAAACTGTCAATACATAATTTTATATTTATTGTACGCCACGTTGTTTAAAGTTTAGATGAAACTTTTGGTACCGATTCGAATTCAAAAATTTGGATCGTTACATTTTTGTACTAAAGTTTAGTTTTAACTTTTCTATAAACTCATAAATCATCGCTCCAATATAAAAGAGTGAATATAGCTTCGCTACTCTCTTTTTTTTTCCGTTGTCGTTTTCACGCCAATGATGTTCTTCTACTGTTCACAAGCTGGTTATTTCTTGTT